TAAAATTTTAATTTTTATATTATTTTATATTTTTATTGAAAGAAATTGGCCAGGAGACAAGACTCCTGTTTGTTGCCTTTAATTAGGATTCAGCTCTTGGGGTGGGGGGCCTGAGGGCTTGTTTGCACCATGGCCATTCCCACACTTGCAGCTCCAAGGAGGAGGCACAATTCAGCTTTGCAGCACACACTGCAGAGCTGGGGCTTCCGTCCTCATGAGAGTAGCCAGAAGGCCTGTTGTTCTGGCTCGTTGTCTAGGGGTGTCAGTCCTTTCCAGTCCTCTTAGGTCATGGTGATGCAGGAAGATGGTTTCTAAGCAGGCTTAGGTGATGCAGGGAGATGATCTTAGCTTGCTAGAATATGTTTCCTTGTCCTTTTATTCCTCTGTTAGCTCATTGTTTTGGTGTCTTGCATGCCTTAGTTTGCGTATTACTTGGTTGCACAGCTTCCTGGGAGTTTCTTTGTTCTAGTGTGGCACAGCAACCATGGGAGTTGTCTCCTTCTGTGGCATACCTTTCTAATGGGTTGCTTTTGTTAGTTTAATTTAGCCCCCCATGGGAGCAGCTCTGTTACAGCAGTAGCAGGGAAGGAAGGGAAAGGTACAGGAATATCTCATAAGAACCTTTCAAACACTTCAGAACCTGGTACGTAATTAACATTACTAATAACCATCGGAGTAAACAAGGGGTACAAGGTTTACAAATGGGATAAGAACATTAACTGTATGTAACTAAACACAGTATTTTAACTGGGGTGGATTTCTTGAGAGATTTTATTCATGATATCTCTGGTGCATTGCTCCTGATAAAATGCCCCCCTGGTGCCTGGAGGGGCTCAAGCAGGGTCCCTGCCACCCTCCACACTCACAGGTGTTACTGACTGTGCAAAGAATGCAAGAAACCAGAGCAGGGTTAGGGGGGCTCCTCCAGCTGATCAAGTCAAGCCAGTCTTCAGTGCCACAGGATTCTTCTTCCAAGAAGAAGACAAAGGAAAGGCAGAGCACTCTTGCTTGCCTGGAGGTTTCTGCATCTTCCATCAGCTTGAGCTCCAAGCCTCTGTTGCCACTTCTGCCTTGGGCCTTTGTTCCTCCAGCTGAAAGTAGGATGGGTGCTGGTAAATCTCAGGGAACTTGCCAGACGTCCCCTGGCTGTAGGGTGCTGCTCCTCCCACCTGGACATACAAGATGGGGGAAGGAAACGTCTCTTCCATGTTGACCAAACCTCTTCCCCTTGGAGCCTGGTTAGTCAGAAGAAAATTCTTCCTCTTCCCTAATGTCTTCATTGCAGGACTTTGTTAGGTTTGTATTCACTTTCCCAGCTCAAATAGAAGGTAGGCCATGAAGGCAGGAACTCCCTGTTCTTTCAGGAACAAAAGCAGAGTGGGCACATGCTGGGCTGTGACTGCAGGGGGAACAAACAGCCAAGTTGTTTAGACAATCCTCATTGGACAGAGCAGTTTTCTCTGAGGTGGTGCAAGTCCTAGGAGTTTATAAAATGTGATACCATTAGTAATGAGTTGCATGCTTCCCTTCTAGGCTGATTCTGTCTCTGGAGGAAAAGAGCATGGATCTCAGAATGCTGGAACAAAGGAACCAGGTGCTGAACAATGAGCTGTCTCAGTTTCATTCTGCTCTTCAGCAGGCCGAACAACTCTCTTCAATTTGTGCAGGACAACTGAAGCAGCTCAACACCCAGGTAAGCTGTGCACTCCATCCTCTTCTCCAGGGACACACAACACCACCTTTGGCATGCTAGTCCCAACCTCTTTCCCCTCCCAGCAGCATCCACCGTGTTCTTCCCAGGCCTGCTGCTGCTGCTGCACCCTCAGGCCAAGGCTGGATCTGGTGTCTGCTGCCAAAGTTTTCCCCCATTCTTTCCTGGGTCCCAGCAGGAAATCTGGGAGCAGAAGCAGCAGCACACTCCTCTGGAGTTTCTCTGTCCCTCTGTTAGCAGTGCTGTCCCTGACAGGATTGGTGCCTGTGCCAGGCACTGAGCAATGTGGGGACACAGACGTGGCTATGGCAGGCTGGGCAGGGCACTTCCACCACAGCCAGTTCAGCCCGTGTTCAGAGCTGCAGCCTCAAGGGTGCCCCTTGCCTCCCTTTCCCTGTTTTCTCTACCTTTGTCTCCACTGGAATCCTTGGTTCCACTGGAATGCCCTGGAATCCTGCACAGGCATCCCAGCTGCTTTGTCTCTCTTGGATTGCTCACTCAGCACAAGGCCAAGAGCAAACACACTTTGCTATTCCTCCGAACCTTGCCCCTGCCATTCCTGCTTTTTTCTCTGCTTGGAAGATTCGTTCACTTCTGTCAGCTTTGGAAGATTTTGTGGGCTTAAGACCAGGCAAACCCAGTCAGGCAGAGAAGACAGTGCTGTTGCCACTTTGCAGAGCCTCCCTCATCTCAAGGAGGACATTCATCTCCTCTCTGATGCCTTGGAGTTCTTCCTTGTGCCTTCTATGCACTGCCAGCATTTCATTGTGAGCTTCCTGCAGCTCAGCTTGCAGCTTTGCCTTGATGGTCTGGCAACAAAATGCAGAGTGACTTCCTGGGACCTGCCCTCAGGCTCAGATTTTTGCACTTGCTGTCTCCAAACCCCATTCCTTCTGCCACTTCTTGTGGCTTCTCAACCCAGCTCTGCTTGCACTGCAAGCCCTCCTTCCTGGCCTGAGCTCTGGAGCTTACCAGGCTCCCACAGCCTGAGGCAGCCCTTGCCCCCTCACTCCCAGGAGCTGCCTTTTGTGCCCTTGTCCCTGCCCTGCACTCCATTCCCTGCCTACTCAGACTTACCTGTCCCTTCTCTTGCTGCTCTTTCACCTCCTGCCTGAGCTGCTGGACCTGCTGGCACGCTTGGCTGAGCTGTCCCCGAGTTTGGAGCAGTGTCTCTGTTAAAGCCCTCTTCTCATTCTGCTCTTCCTGCAGCACCTGCACAGAAGCAAAGAGCAGAGGGTTTCACACTTGCCTGCAACATCTGTGTGGCAAGAGGCAAAGACGGATGGGCTCACGCGCCCTCAGAGCACTTGGCTGCTGCTCCCCTGGGCCACTGTCTGCCCTGGGGAGCCACAGCTGCCCAGGAAGTGACTTAAAACACAGCCCAGAAGACATCTCTGGGTTCCCTTTCAGAAATACTCCAGATGAGTCGTTAAATAGATTTTTCTCATCCTTGTCAGCATTTCTGACACCCTCCCTGTGCCCACAAAAGTCCTATGTCGTGGTTTTAATCCAATTACTAAGAAAATAACTTATTTCTTGTTGTGAGATATGGATTAGAACAAGAGCAAAACAGGCATAAAACTTAAAAGGAAAAAAAAAAAAAAGTTTTTTGACAAACTACAATAATAAGAACACCAGAATAAACTTCCAGAAAAACCTTTTCATCCCCTATTCACCCACTATTCCCTTGTTCACATGACAAAGACACTTTATAAACTACCAGTGACAGGAAAGAAAAGAAGCTTCAGAAAAGGTAGAGAATTAAGAAGATGCTTTAATTAAGCTGAAATATCTTTCT